CCTTCCTCCCTTCCGTCCATCCATCCATCTTTTCCTCTCTCCCTCCTTCTACCCTCCCATGGACATTTTTTTAAAAAATAATTTAATAAATTTATTTATTTATTATTATTTTTTTTTTGAAACATGCCCCCACCAGTGTTAGTGGTGCTGATAAGAGCAGACACCACTAGCACCTGGGGAGAGGCTCCATCTATTGGTGGGGAGCATCACCTGCTGGGAAACGGGCCCAGCGTCCCATATACAGATTGAATGTGATTCCTGCCAGTATTGATTACCCTGACCTCCAGGGGATTGACTGAGCAGGAAGCAGGGAAGGGGGGGACCTCTTCACCTTGGAACCGACGCCAGATACCTATTGCTACACACTAGTTCCTCCCTCCCCCCACCAGCCCCAGTCCTTTTTGTTGCTGGAAACCGGGTCCAGCGTCCCTTAGAATACGTCTTTTTTACAGAAGGGTTAGCTGAGAAAGCACCTGCCAGCCGCGCTTACGCTGGAATTCAGAAGATTAACAGTGCAGGATTTCGAAACCAGGAGGAAAGGGACTGATTCTACTATTGCTACCGTGGCTAAACGCTGATTCTTCCCTCCCCACCGTGGCTCAAGGCTGATTCTTCCCTCCCTCCTCTGCCCCCGCACCCTTGTTGGTGCTTGTAACGTCTCTCTCTCTTTTTGATTTAATATTTATAAACAGAACTTGTGATTGTTTCATTTAATCCATTGCGATTGTGGTGATGTTGTACATTGAACTTTATTTTTCTGTTATTCATGTTGCAGAACCAATATGCTCTGTATTTCTCGAGGGCGATGATTCCTCATAATAAGTAAGTAAAAGTCAAACTTGGTTCTGTGAGGGAAAAGGGAAAAATCCAAAAAGTTGACTGTGTAGAAAAAAGTTGATGTGATGTGATGTTGATGTCGATGTCCTGCCTCTTTGTCATTCTGAAATTCCAAGCTGCTCTCCTGTGCTCTTTTTTCCCCCTGAATGATATTAGGTGAATTGCCCCCATTTTGCTCCTCCACTTTCCCCTCGATGAAATTTCTATCATATTAGGTAAATTGGTCCCATGTGCTCTTCCACTTTCTCGCCTGGATGATTACGGGACTGCATGTCTCATTTTGTTCTCTATTTTTCCCTGCGTGTCTTATTCTTATGCCCTTTATCTTCGCCTGCATCATTGCCAGGGAAGTTCTGCGTTTTCGCTAGCAGCATGAACATTTGTTTGGATATTTCTTGGGTTGGGGACAATTCAGATGTGCGGGCCCATTCTCCCCTTGGGATGGTCTAATTGACCAGCAGGAGGGGGATCAGTCCTTTCTGCAGTGCCTAGTAGGTCCATGAGTTTCCATTCATCTTCTCCCTTTTCTTTTAGGACAGTTGGTTTTGCTTTTAATTTTTTAAAATTTATTAGTCATTATGTGTCTAAGTCTACTTAGTCAAGTTCAACTATTGTATGTTTAAAGTTTAGTAAGTTGAAAACAAAACAAACAAACCAACGAACAAGCGAGCGAACGAACGAACGAATGAACGAGTGAGCGAACGAACGAACGAATGAACGAGTGAGCGAACGAACGAACGAATGAACGAACGAACGAACGAACGAACGAACGCACCGACGCACTGAACGCAACCGAACGCACGCAATGCAACGCGACGCACACACGCGCGCATGATATAGGCAGAAAAGCCACAAGTGCTTAGAACATTCATTTTTGATGTTCAAACAGGGCTTCCCCCGCTGGGGCCCCTTCTATGCTTTCTTCCCCTCTGGTTTTCTTATAGGTTTTTGAACCGTTTTTCTGATAGGTCGGTTTTTTTTTTTTTTTTTTTTTTTTTTAAAAGACGACGGCCTTGAGATGTCATTGAGCTGACCGGCCCCAGGCAATTCATTAGTAGTTGGTTTTTACTTATAAAGTTCTATCATCTGGATTCGAACACAGGTCTGTATTTCAACAGTTCATGGGTGTACCCTCTGAGCTAGGCTCTTGGGTATTGGTCGGTTTTTGTCTCATTGTTGTTCTGTTTTTTTCCTTTCAAAAAGTTAGTTTCAGGTTCTTTGTAGAATGAAGGGATTTCTGACCTGTCAAGGTGTCAGTAAGTGTTAGCTGGGTAGGACTGGGTACTTTATCTAGTCTCCCGCTTGCCCAATAGCGGCGGCCCTGGTTACTTTTTGCACATGTAAGGACCTGCCAAACACGGACTGAGACACACAGCCGATTTCTGAGTTTTGCCAATGGAATGTATGCCTTGCTGAGTTTCCCGCTTGTTGCTGGGTTTTCTAAGTCTGTGTGGGTGCGTGCTTACTGGTCTACGTGTCTGTCTGAGTGCTTGTCGGTTTGAGTGTGTCTGTGCCCCACAAGGGTACTCGTCCGTGCGGGAGGCCCGAAGGGCGGGTACTTACCTGTGGCGGTGACATTGAGGGTTGCAGTAGGGAAAGAGGCCCGCGACACTTAGAGCAGCGGAAAAACACTCAAGTAGCAGGTAGGCCTGTACCACACCAAGTAGAGGTAGATGTGTCGGGTCCTCGATGCCGAGCAGAAGAAGACAAAGTTGGCATTTTTAGAGGCCCAGCAGTTGTAGGCTAGGTCTATGTGGGTACCCGTCCAACTAAGTCTGAGTCTAGGGCCTGCTTGGGCAATATCAGAGTCTGCAATGATGTTTCCCTCTGAAAGGGAGGAGGTACCGGTTGCTTGGAGGCCGCGCAGCCTGGAAGTCGCGGTGCAAAAGGCAAGCAGGCCGCTATCTCTCCTGGAGCAGCAAAGAGCTCCTCCTCATTCTACGGTGTGCAAGTTTGGCGACACACTGCTTGGAGCGCTGGTTGGAGCAGCGCTGCTGGGGAGGAAGGAGCGCCCAGCTCTCCACCTCGGCTATGGTGGAGGAGCACGGGTTGAAGGAGGAGGAAGACGAGGACTAGGAAGGGGGAGCGCCAGAGGTACTTGCCTGGCAATGGTGGATGTCATCTTCATCACCTTGGTGGGCGCTGCATCTGGAAGGCCCCAATTGGGGTAGAGCTACACCAAGAAGCTTTGAGGCAGGGTCGGGTATGACGGCCTCATCTAGAGCAGCCATAGTTGCTTTGAGTTGTCTTTTGCACATAAGGGCAAGGCCCTAGCAGTCCCCCATAGCCTCGGCCTTCCGGAAGAGGAAGGAGAAGGGTGGCCATGGGTATGGTGGGACCTCATGTTGTACCTGCAGTAGAAGAGGGATTCGGACATTGATTCTGGTTCAGCCATTTAACATTATTATTATTATTAATAAATTATTATATATTGTTTGAATAAGAGGGGAGGAGAAAAGGAGGAGGACAGTGGTTGGCGAGAAGAAGGGAATTTTTATTCAATTATCATTGGTCTTTGCTGGTTAACATCTTCTTCTTCTTCTTCTTCTTCTTTCCCTCTCTCTCCTCTCAAGTTCATTCATTTCTTTTTTGCAATTGGACGGCATTGTGCTTTCTCGTGAATGTGTACTTTGAAATTGGCCAGGATCATAACACATACCTCTTTCCCTTCTTAAATATGTATTTCTTTTTCAAAGTTTTTTTCTTCCTTTTTTTTTGGGGGGGGGGGGAAGGAGTAATGATTATTAATTTATTATCATGCCTGGAAATGGGCCCAGCGTCCCTCACAAAAGTTCGCCACAGCGCACAGGCTGAGCAAGGCTCTCCAGCTAAGCAAAGCCAGGGCCACCACTGTGTCAGAAAATCAGCCCCTTCATCTCATCTTCTACCAACCGTTCAATCGACAAGCACGTAGACAGGCACGTAGACCAGGGCCACGACTGTGTCGGAAAATCAGCCCGCTTCTACCAACCATTCAAACAACCTATCTCTGAGCCCGACTAGCAAGAAAAGCCAGAAAGGAGGAAACAAAAGGGGAAACATTCGCTTAAATTTCTATTTCTTTTATGCTTGTCAGGGATAAGTAACCGGACTGGTGCCCTCCCAGAATAAACAGGGGGGTTCTTCTTTTTTTTTTTTTTTCGGGGGGGGGAGTATTTATAAAAAAAAAATTTGACTGTTTCTTTTTTGTTCTGAGAATTTGGTAATCGTCCTTCACAACGCGGCTTTTTGGTCTGCTAGGGGAAGGTGGTAAGAGCGCCCTCCCGTAGCAGGCCTATAGCCGGGGCTCCGATCTATTGGTGGGGAGCAGCACCTGTTATGCCTATTTCTCTTTTTTTCGTTTGGTTGGACAATGAATATTTTATGGCCATTGATGACATCTCTGCTCTGACTGTTGCCTGCGGTCTGCCTCCGCCCCTCATGATGGATGACTAATCACTTTCCTTCATTTCTGCTGTCATTGTGACTCTGTCCCTCCTCCGTTATTCCTCCTCCCTCTATTATTTCCTCTCTCGCCTCTCCCATTTCTGCCTCCGTCCTCTCCTCGTTGAAATCCTCCCTCCTTAGGGCTGGCAAGTATGATCCAAGAACACAGTACTGGAGGAAACTAGGCATATATGCCTACAGGGCAGATTTTCTGAAGACTTATCTGATGCTTCCACCTAGCAGTCTCCAGGTGCGTTGATATACTAATACTCGTGCATCCTTTTCATCCCTCTCCCCCCCCCCCCCCCCTCCTCCTCCTCCTCCTCCTCCCTTATTTCTTCTCTTTGTCCATCTGCACACTCCAGTTTGCTCTATACATGTTCCACAGTGTTTGGCAGGTTAACCTCTGGGCTGAAAAGTGAAACAAGTGGTAGGTAACCACTTGTCTTGGATGGCAGTAAGAAAAATAAAACAACAATAAAAAAAAAGTTCATATTCTCCATCGTTACGCAAGCGAAGACCTCATGGTACTGCATTGGCCCCCCTCCCCGCCTCCCCCCCGCCCCCCGAAAATTCACAAAAATTGAGTATGCTGCTAGGCTACCAGCCGGGCTGCCCGGGTCACCCTATTGTCCCGGGCGGCCCGGTCGTGCAAGGACCAGGGAAGGTCCCAGGTAAAAAAAAAAAAAAAAAAAAAATCGGAAAAAAACTATGTTATGCGGAAAAATAAACTGAACAACTTTTGCCTCAGGGTCACATCGAAATTCTTTACCAAATTTAAAATAAAAATTTAAATTAAAAAAATAATTTTTATTTTTGTATATCTTTTTGGCCCAGCCGGGCAAGTGGACCCGGGCCACTCTGGTAGCCTTGGTATGCTGATCAATTCAAATTTCAAAGTAAAAGAGGCTCTCCTCCTGTTTGAAGGGGTGGCGTCTGAAGGTTATTGATTCAACAGCTATACTACGACTTCATATACCGAGTGCGACTAGGCCACAAAATGCTCAATGGTTCCGAATTCCCTCTCTGAATCTCTGCTCATCACCATCCACACTTGCCACCGCACCGTCCTTTGTTCACATGCATTTAGTCAACGCCAGGGGGAAGGGGGTTGCGGATGCGTGGAACGGAGCTTCGACCAAGGAGCGACACACGATCACTGAAGGGGAGGGAGGACATAGTGGGCGACTTTCCAGACCGGGGCAGGGTTAGCGGAAAGGAGGAGCTCCAGAAGTAGGAAGGGTGACTTATGCAACCTTATGGGAAAGGGCGGTGCTCCAGACATGGAACTGAAACGACCACAGTCCCGACAAACAACACTGAACTGTGACGATGTATCCGAGGGACGCTGGACCCGGTTTCCAGCAGGTGTCGCTCCCGAGCAATAGATAGAGCAGCCCAGCAGGCAAAGCCTCAATTCCAGTGGTTCTCTTACCACCACTGGGATGGAGGCCTTGCGGAACGGTTTTCTTCCCCTTAAAAAAAAAAAAAAAAAAAAAAAAAAAAAAAAGATGGGGTGTGGTGAATTGAAAGAATTTCAAAGATGATGAAAGATTTGAGAGAAGAATATCTGAATATACCGTAGTTTTATTTAAAAAAAAAAAAAAAAAAAGTCACCCGTGAGGTTCGGATATATAATTGTATTCTTACTTTATCCGATTATTGGGAATTTCAAATTAGAAGAACCGGCTGTAGAAAAGAGCATGGATCTAGCCTATACATGCGACTAGACTCGGGGATTCCAGATTTGCAAGATTTTAGTAGAGATTATGAATCGAGCCTGAGACGAAGAACAGACAGGCAGAGAGAGAATCCAGCCTACGAAATTGGCCAGATACATCGAACAAGATTTCAACATCAATGCTAAAACTGAAAAGAAATTTACTGGCAAAACCCTTCTACTACTCATCCCTGAGATATTTGATTCTCCTTCGTTTTTATCGACTTCAAACATGTAAAAATACCTAAAAAGGGGAAAGCAAGAGAAATCCTGCTTAAGCATCTGTCCCATGAACAAGGCGAAGCACAAAGCAGAGACACCCCGCTGTTTGAAAGCGCAGCACATCCAAGACTAGCATCTACAGGTAAGAGGGATATTGATGCAAAGGCGCTACATACAGTGAAGGGGCAGATCCAAGACTAAGATCAACGGGTAAAAGGGGAAATTATCTCAAAGCCAGTATATATAGGCGATGAGGATAGGTCGTGCACTACGCGCTTCGGTTCACTCGCTCAGCAGCGGCCCCGGATGTGCTACCCCCGAGAAACCCACCAGCGGTTACTTGTGACTTGGCGCCGCTTGGTAACTTCGAACAGTAGCGCAGCGCTAGTGCTCCAGTGGCCGCCGCTCCCCCACGCCGGCTACTACTGTATGCTTCCATGTTCTAGTTGAAGATTCATTCGATTTTGCTCATCCTCTCGATGGAAGTAGCATGAGGCCAGGCGCGGTGTTGGAGACTTACCTGTTGGCCGGTGCGTTGCTCATCACATCTCTCTCTCTCTCTCTCTCTCTCTCTCTCTCTCTCTCTCTCTCTCTCTCTCTCTCTCTCTCTCTCNCTCTCTCTCTCTCTCTCTCTCTCTCTCTCTCTCTCTCTCTCTCTCTCTCTCTCTCTCTCTCTCTCTCTCTCTCTCTCTCTCTCTTTCTTTTTTCTGTTTTTTCCCAAGCGGATAAATCTCTCTAGCGTTTCCTTTCGTTTTTTTTCTTTTTTTTTTCTTTTTTTTCTTTTTTTAAGAATCTCGTTCATAATTTTTGTTTTCATTTCTTCGTTTTTTTTTTTCTTTTTTCTTTTTAGAAACGACGACTTTCCTTCTACCGGTAGCCTCCGGTAGCTCGAGGCTCGGCAATGCTCGGCGTACTGGTAGCCGGAGGGTTGGACTTGATAGCTGGGAAAGGTACTGGTGTTTTAAGGTATTTAATGTTTTTTTTTAACTTTTTATGCATCTCAGTTTCCTTTTTTTTTTTTTTTAAACAAAAACACAGCCCCCTTTTTATTCTGGGAGGGTGCCAGTCCGGTTACGTATCCCCGGCAAGCATAACGAAGTAGGAAGTACAGCTGATGAACGAAGAAGAAGGTAACCCGTCAGGTAATTGAATTGGTTGGGCTTAAAGAATTAGTATTTATTTTTTTATTTTTTTTAAAAGACAAAACGTCTTAGTAATTCTGCTGCCACTCTTCTGTTCACTGTTTGTTTTGTCATCACAGGTTGCTGAGGATCTGGAGCAAAATAAGGTCATCCAAGCTGGTTTGAAAATTAAGGCAAGTTTAGACTGAACGATACCCCAAATACTCCAAATACCAGCCAAAGCTGAACCCGTGTTTTCAAATTCACACACTTTGACCTATTAACTAGTGTTAACACTGTTAAGTCGTATTTGCCGAAATGTGGTCCTGAACGATAGCTCGTGGGAGTATGCTCTAAGGATATCCCAATTGAAGCACGCTCAAGACCACATTTCGGCAAATACGACTTAACAGTGTTAACACTAGTTAATAGGTCAAAGTGTGTGAATTTGAAAACACAGGTTCAGCTGCCGTTATTTGCCTCTTGCATCTGAACTCCGGCGAGCCTAAGTCCAGCCAAAGCTGGCGACGCCTGGCGTGAAGACAGTTATTCATTGACCGAAGTCGATGAATCTAAGTTAATTGATTGAAACAACCTTGTAAAGCGTTAGTTCAACTTGGTTGGGTACAACATATAATTTTTTTTTTTGCTGAGATATAGATACTTTTTTGGATCAAGGGAGGAATAGAGGGATGAGTGAATAGGTCCACAAGGTGGGTACCTTCTTTATAAAATTCCAGGGTGTTGTAGAGGTGAGTTTCTACCTTAATCAGCATCCTGAGACCACACATGGTACCATTCTCTCTTTTTTTTCTTGTGAAAAAAAAAAAAAAACTGTCAACTTGGCAGCCTACTGCAGACAGGGATAAGAGCCCTTGCCTGTTGTAGGTGCCGGGAGGCTGCGGACTCCGGTCTTATTTGTGGGGAGAAGCACGTGCTACAAACCGGGCCCAGCATCCATTACATATATAAGTTGATATAACCAGTGTTTTAGCCATGGGCCCCCTTGTTAGCCCCGATTGTTCGGTACAGTTCTCAATGGATGCCCAACTCCATGAGTACCCCTCACACGGGAAACCATGGAAAGTCGTACAGGCTATCCCTTATGGACTCATGGGAGGGGAGATTGCAGTGGAGAGCGAGGCAGCAACAGCATCCCTGTTGCAGGGGCATGTAATATTCGAGAATAAAGAGCAGCACTCGGCAGATAAACTGGATGATGCAGCACAAGGGGTCAAGCTGCAGTATGCACACTTGAACCCCATCCTTTCTCAACTAATCAGCCAATACCACCACAGTAGCTGAGGGACCCATATTTGGTCCCATAGAGACCAAGGCGATGGCATCATAGTCCCAGGGAACGCAGATGGCCCAGTTTCCAAGGCCAACTTGGTACTTCTCGACCAGGCCTAGAGGTCGCGAGCTAACGGTGATGTCGTGGAATGTCAATGGACTAGCCACAGGCCTAACAACGTAGCAGACTGGTGGGGGGGGGGGGGCAGGGAGGAGTGGGTAGCAGGGTGGCAGTGTTGCACTCTGCACGGGAAAGGAAAAAACACCACCAGCATAAAAGTGGGGTTGTCTGGGTGTTTGTTCCTTCTTTTCTCCTAAGGCACTTGATTCCTCCCCTGCCCCCACCCCCTTCCCTGCCATCTTGGTTCTGCTTTGAGTGGGCACTCGTACTTAGTCTAGAACTTTTTCAACTCAGCTCTGGACATGATTGCGGTCGGACGCATCCCAGCCGATCCGCAATCACAGTCAAATACATTCTGAAAAGTGCTACCATCTTCACCCGAATAGATCACCCAGTCATTATAGCTGCATTTGGGGCACCTTTCAGTCCCGGTACAGCAATAATGACAGGGCGTTCTATTCAGGTGAAGAGGGTGGTGTGAGTCTGCCCTTTACAGTGATCAAATAATGACAACAAATGCAAAGTTATGGGTTCCATTTCTCCACGAGTGGTTAACCGGGACCACCACTTTTCAGCTGTTGGGTTAACGCGTCCAGAACTGAAATGAGGGTTTGCTCAACCTCGCAGATCAAATTTTWTKKTTTTTTTTTTTTTTTTTTTTTTTTTTTTTGGCCTKTTTTYTYTCCTKTTYTYTYTTTTTTTTTTYTTTTYTTYTTTTTTYWTTTTTTCAGCGGGATACTTTGATCATTGTTTTTTYTKTTTTTTTTCCGTCGTTTTCTTGTTTCTATTTTTTTTCCTCTTCTTGCAGGTTGGCATTGTACAAACTGGCGTTCATGGTGTGGACACCCCAAGGCAGCTGCAAGAGCTTGAGAACCAAATGATGAGCTGCCATGCTGGTGACTTGGACAATATGCCCGTCGTCGGCAAGGAGAACATATCGCCATTCACTCAAATAACTATCTGATGAGCTTACTCCGCTGTCAAACCTTAAGCCACCAGTAGTCGGCCCAGCTATCGGCCGCTGCCGCTGAAAAACAATGAGTAGAAATGTTTCTAGGCGGATGAATTTGGATTTGGGCACTCCTGTAGTGGCCCGTTCGTTTCCTAAAATTGTGGCTTGTATATGGGCACGACTCAAGGAAGTACTGGTGGTTTAAACTTTAAACCGCTTGTACACGGCCCCAGCCTTGCAGAAAGCTTTTGTCGCCACAAGGAAAACATGGAGGTGCCACACCGCCAGGGGCACCGTTAAAAATACAAAAATCGGCGACCACCGAAGTCGTGCGGGTTTCATGCTGACACCCGCGGGCCTATAGACACTCCTCGGGGACGTGATTCCAAGGATTTCATCTTCGTTCCACCTGTCCTCGGAGATGAAATCAGAAATGAAAATGTGAAAACACTCCGAGGACAAATCTTTGGGCTTCGCGAGGTCCTTTGGCGCCCAGTTTCACGGAGAGGAGAGGACATGCACGTAGAGAAACGTTTCAATCAAGAATTCCGATCGTGGCGGCACCCTGTTGGCTGAACGCCTGAAGCACAAGCTTTTTTCCTTTTCTTTTTTTCCTTTTCTTTTTTTCCTTTTCTTTTTTCACTTTTTTTTCTGACATCGCTCCGAGTATGAGCCCTAAAGCCAATTCTCCAAGGATGAGTGGAACGAAGACGACAAAAACCCTAAACTTTTCCGAGGATTCATCCTCGGAGCCCGAGGATGCCCTGAGGAGTGTCTAACGATGGCCTATGTGTGGTGTACTGGTGCTTTTAACTCTAGTGGAAGAACTGGACTTACGGCTCCCACTAAGGTTAGACCACCGGTACATCCAATCCTCTTTTCGTCTAGGTGGATTCCCCCTGTGTGGCAAGCTCTTTTTCCAAAATGCCAGCGCAGTCCTTTTTTTTCTTTTGGCTGGCTCCTCCAGGCATTTTGGACCGGTAGCCCTGACCCTCCGAAGTTTTCGGAGTGAGCCGATTGCAATTGTCAAATTTGCATGTGCCGTGTACCGGTGGTTTGAACTGCCAGTTCACGGCCCCAGCCTTGCTGAAAATGTTTTGTCGCCTACTCCGAAAAAGTCGGCGAGGGCGCGCTGTCAATAAAAAAGAATCGGCGGGCGGCGCCACGTTTCGGCCTCTGACAGGGGCCTGTGGCCGATGTGAGGCATGCCTACTCCGAAAAAGTCGGCGCCGGCGCGCCGTCGATAAAAAAGAATCGGCGGCCGGCGGGATGGTTCGGCGTCTGACAGGGGCCCGTGGCCGATGTGAGGCATGTAATGGTGGTTTAAGGTTCGTCCGCAAGGAGAACATATAGCCATTGGATTTCGCTCAAATAACTATCTTATGATATTACTCCACTGTCAGACCTTAACTCTAGTAGAAGAACTAGAGTTATGGTTCCCATTATAAAGTCAAGGTTCCCACTAGAGCTACAGTAAAGGTTCCCACTACAGGTAGAGTTAAGGTTCCCACCATTGGATTAGCATTCCGATCATCTGCTTGAAATCACTTCCTGTTTCAGCAGAATTTGGGAATCAATTGATGAACTGCCATAGTGGTGAAAAGTCGACAGTATGGCAAGAAATATGCCACTCATAGTCAAAGGAGCGGATATTGCGACTCGCTCAAATAAGTATATGCAGTGTATAAAGATCTTACTCAGCTTGAGAGCCTTTAGCAGTACTACAGTTAAAGTTTCCACCGTTGAATTGACATTCCCATCCTCCTTGGAGTTCTTCCTGTCTCAGCTGACTTCAACTCTCTCTCTCTCTCTCTCTCTCTCTCTCTCTCTCTCTCTCTCTCTCTCTCTCTCTCTCTCTCTCTCTCTCTCTCT